AGACGTGTGCTCTTCCGATCTTACGTAGTCCGACTAATATGAAATTTTGCTGTATCCGTGCAATAAGACTAACTAAATATGTACAATAGACGTGTTTCGAATCTGCGCGATTTTTCTCGAATCACTGAATGTATGTATGTGCCTCATGTACGAAAGATCCCCATCTCTCCCTAATGTTAACCCCCCCTCCCCGCCAAATTATAAGTTTTCTCTCCACTTTTAAAGAAAGAAAGAAGTTGTTTTACTCTCTCTTACATTCTTTAACAGTCCTATTGTCCTGCATCACCGCACGAGAAATCTATTTATGTGAGATTATGAAATTTGACTCTGATGATTTCATATTGCTTGAAACTTGACAAAAATAGTTAGTATCGCTATAATTGTCATATAAGAATAATTTAAGTTACTATTAATTGTTGTCAAAGATTTTCATCAATAATTTCTTTAGTCACTATATAAGAGTCAGCACGCAGAAATCGTTGCGTTAAAACTTCTAAAATTATATTCTGTAAATTAAATTACATCTTCTTACATGTCGTACGTTTCGGTCCGCTTCAGACCTTCTTCAGCGATGCATACATAATGTTCCGCCAAATTATATTATTCCTTTCGTAATTGTCAATATGTTCCACAATGTATGAGATGGGCCTTCAGTTTCAAGATTGAATGCAAGAGTCATTTATGAGAATGACATTATTGAGTACTGAACTTAAATTCTTAACGTGAACGATTTAGGCATCTTTTACTCACCATTACGAAACAAGTCAAGATCGATGTAACAATTAGCACTCACAATGGTTAAAACAAAATGCGCAGAGAGTCACGTGTTGTCACATCCGTGATTACCTTAAGGATGTTTAATACGTACAATAGTAGCAAAAAGTTATAAAAGGATTGATTTTGACGAATATGCTCTTCTCATATAGTTTGAGTAATAAGGATTGTGCAGAATGTTATCATTTATTTAGAACTAGAGCGCAGAAATGTTTTTGTTGTTTTTTTCCTGAGAATTTTCGAATTCTATGGCCAAATC